ATATACGTGAAAAGCGGTTATAAAATGTTTCTGTCTAATACAAGTATAACCTAAACAACATCGTTGAGATTTTCCATTCTAAAATTCGCAATACGACATTCAAACTTCAAGCAATTGCTTTCTTATATCCTGTTATAATCTATTTTAATAACAAAAATTGTATTTGTAGAATTTATTTAATTTCAATAGTATTTTGTATAGTTTCTGCCAATAGTTGCTAAAGAACTTGAAAACTGATTGTTTTAACTTCTAAACTCACACAAGGCACATTGAAACAACAAGCTTACAGCCTTATCTGTCATGTGTATAATCAATTATCACTTTAACTTTGCTTGAGCGTGCAGTACGTTAACAAATAACAACATTATGACATTTCCATATATATACTTTTATAGGTATATACCTATGCGACTCCACCTAGTTCGATAATTTTTCATTTTAATTATACACAAACTGAAAAGTGTTATTCCATATGATATACCGATGCATCAGGTCTATTAAGTAACCTTAGTATCTATTTCTATCATTGAAGTAATGGAAAATTTCGCAAGTTTATTTAATACAACTGATATGGGTAGATAGACAAGTTTCACCAAAAACAGTTATATATGAAGTAATAACTAGAACAAACTTGAGTAGAATTCTTAATAAATTATACTGGTATTAGCAATCGTATTTCATTGTAAAAATAATTTTGAAATAATAAGATGTATGTCGTTCATGTATGGAGGCATTTAAAATTTATCGGATGCTTGTATATGACAAAGAAACAAATAGACAAATTCAAATACATATATATGTAATATTATACCCATGCTATGGTTAATAGTATGTTTCTGTGATTTAATAATTTAACTATGTTTTCTATTAATCCATTTCTAATGTCAAAAACCTAAATGCGATCCAAAGGTGATAGAAACTTAAAAGAACCCTTGTACTTGCTATGTTTGTATACAAGATGTTTATGTATGAGAAAGGTTAAAATTACAATAACAGTTTCAGTTGCACTGCATCGATAACCTTTTCTGATAAGTGTCTTTGCTAGGTGCAGTGTACCTATCAAAGGCACTATTAAATTATTTTATAATTATGTACTTAGTTTCAGATAAAATTACGTTAATTTTAGCCATCTATATACATCAAGTATGATGTAGAATTATGTCAGCACCATGTCTACAATAAAATTATTTTATGAATATGTGGATATATTATCAGAATCATGAAAATATAATATATATTTATTTTTTATGTCAACGTCAATAAAATATGTGTATTTCTAACTATGCATGTGATGTAAAAAATGTATTGTTCTGATAGACACAATGTACACAAAGAAGTGACTTCAGATTTGCATAAAACATATTGTTTCAGTATTTTTATTGTATTTATTAAATGTTAACTTTATAATATCTAAATTTAAACTTAATATTTATATCAGTTTAGAGTCAACTCAGACTAAGAACAAATGAATATAATAAATTGTCTTAAAAAATATAAGTATTAATATTTCAAAGCCAAATACTTATAAAATAATTTTTATAATATTACTTAGAATATAATTAATAGTATGCAGAGATATATGAGTTTGCTAGAATTATAATAAGTACAAAGAATTAAGTAATGTTTTTAAAAAAAGTTAAATACCTTGCTAGCTTCAAATCCATCGGGGTTAAGGGACGGCATCAAATGTATATCAGTAGTGTTGACAAGATTCGTGATTCTATCATCTTTTCCATAATTGAGCAGCAGATATTGAGCTAGGTATATTACCAGCTCTCTACCCACAGACTCATCTCCATGCATATTAGCGACATATTTGAACGCTGGCCGCTCCGGATGTACCTGCTTCACGTCTTCGGTAATCTGCAGCACTAGCAATTGGCGATCTTCCACCGACTTACCGATCGAATAAGACTTAGCCAGATTCGGATAGGATTTCTCTAAATTGTCAAATAACTCAACAAGATCATCGTACTTCGTATACTTTGGATTTTTAACGAAAGATTGATCGGTTTCTATCGAGCGTGGCACACACTCACTTATAAGAAGTGTAAATACCGTAAATACAAAATAAATGGAAAACATTGTAACAAGTTGCACTAAGAACTTGACCGCGTTTAAAAATTTAATAATTCACTACAATGAAGTCATCACACGCATATGCCTCGCATTGTTGTTAGTAATTTCAAGATAGAGAATAAATGTAGAAAACTTGAAAGTTGATTCACAGCTTCCGCCCGTCTATAGTACTTATGCTGACATTTAGGAAATGTTACAGTTCTGATGACAATGACTAATATTGCCACTGACAGGCGACAGCTGTTTATGCTTTTTACTTTTTTTTTTTGGAAACAAGCAAGAACTCTGTTCGTTATGATCTATAAAACTCAATTACAAATTTAAAGTAACTACCTGTTTTAGCCCTTAACCTCTTATTTCGAATAAATTGAACAAGTATTTCCATTTCGCCAGAGTCGTATGTTAAAAACCAAACACAACCAAACAAAATTGTTTATATATTTTATAATTTTGAGTGAAAGAAAGACGTTCCTATAAGATAAAATTATTTTTACAAATTAGAGTATAGAAGTTTACATATTATTAAGAAAGTACTGATATTATTACTATAAAATTAGGAAGATGTCCAACATCATGCAACTGAAATCAATATTTTTTTTATACTGACACCTTTATGATAAAATACGATAAAAAATGTAACAGTTATTAATTAAAATATTTTTACTAGTTTTGTTTTTTGAATCCTTTGAAAACAAGTAAAATAAAAGATGGAACTCAGGCATTGCCTCCATAGTTCAAGACCATTATCTACATGTTTTAGAAATTAATGCTGCATCTGGTACAACTGTGTGAAAGACTGAATAAAAATTATGAAACTATATTAGAAATATTGAATTATATTGAGAATTAGATATCGTATCAATAATTATAATTGCCTTAAACATTGCTTGTTCGTCGTATTGAGAAGAACGAAATGAAAAATGCTCATACTTCAAAAAAATACTCTTTTAATTGGCCATAATAAAATCGTTTACATTATCCACTTTTATTTCTGCTACCTTTAATTAAATTGTCATAATATTTGGGAACGAAGTAATTGCTTACAATCAAGTAGTTTTTTATTTCTTAATCAGAAGATTTTCTTAATTCAGTGACGTTTAAATAACACAAAAAATAGACTCCTATCTAGTAGGTTAGATTGAAACAAAATAAACGGAGAAGTATATGTTATGAATGGCCTTTATTTCAATCTACATCACAAACTTGTGCGGTCGAAAATTATACAATTAACGTAGATAAACTTAAATTAAAATGAAAAATATTTAATAAAGTAACCAACCCTTAAGATATAAACAACAACTAAGACTAAAGACTAAACGATATATTATTTTAAAGAATTTGACGATTTATAAAGCTTATGTACAATCATTTTAAAAACAAGGCGATGATTGACAAATACATAAAAATTAAAGTAAATAATAATAAATTTTGCCAAACAATGCACCATTAATGCAGTTGATATTCATGTAAAGTTAGGATTGTTATATAAAGAGATGCTGATGATTTTATACAATCTTATACACAATTCAAGAATCAGGAATAACTGTATTATGATGGCAGTGTAATACGATTCTTACAAATAAAAAAACAACATGCTACAGACAAAACACTAGAAATAAGGCACAGAGTATAAGGACCTCCATTTTAAACATTGGCATCGGATTTATTTAAACTGTAATACATTCAAGAATAAACAATATTTAGCCGCACAATAACTTAATACAAACAAAATACTCATAATTTTAAGAATACAATTAATTTAATTTAAAAGGCACATTGAAACGACATGCATTTTTCATAGCTGTATTGAAAAACTTATTTAAATAATCTTAGGTGCATAATTATCGTTTTGGCAAACAATATACAATTTTATTAAGTATAGGTTGTTCAAAATAATATACGTTTATGATAGCAACAATAAACTAATGTTGCAACATTAGGCATCAGGTAATAAATTAAATATAATTCGCAATACGAAAATAATTTCAAACAAATTTACTTAAAAGCCATAAAAGCAATATTTAAAACAAATTACTCTTTAACAATTGAACATTTATAGTATTTGTAACTTAACTCTAAATTAAACAAAAACAAAGTTTTTTTTATCGATACAAGTTTGTAAATTTTAAGTAATTTTTTTGTCTTGTTTTTATTTGTTATTTTGTTCATAGCTACCTACGTAAAAAAAAAATATTCAAAAATTTCCATTAGCATTAGAAAACATTACAAAAATATGTTTTTATTTCAGACTTTTTAATTTATAAAGCTATTTATAAATTACAATACTGTTTTGTCATCTTCAAGAAATATGCAAAATGGACTTCAATACAATATTATTTGTATTGCAATAAATTTGCTGCCAACGCGATATGTTTTTTGTTCATTTTTTTTTGGTCCCCTAAAAATCTCTCAATGACTCAACCTTTGAGTAAGACAGTACTTGTCAATACTTTTTTTTTAACTAAAAGTTGGTTTAAAGGAATTCCAAAAATTTGTAATTTACATTCTATTAATAGAGAAATATTAAAATACAAACTTTGAACACAATATTGTTATTAAAAAAAGAGAAGTTTTGTCTTACTTTATGAAATTTAATATGTTTATAAAGCTCAAACTTGTCATAAATTAGATAAATACCTTAAAAACGTATCTTGAAAGTGGCAATATAAACACTTACACACTACACACAAGGAAATAGGAAAAATAATGTTTTACACACACATTCATACAAAGATGCTGTAACATTCGACTTCTTTAAGGGAATGGTGTATAAAAAAAGGAACATAAATAAGAGTAATCTAGGAAAATCTCGATAATGTCTTATCTAAATTAATAATACTTAGGATACTGTTCAATAAGTTAAAGGGTGGTTGGGGAGAGATGGCATGTGTTTCCACTAAGGGGAGGTTGGGCATGTTTTTTTATTGGAAATGTGATTTCCAGAACACGTTGGCTAATATCCCCGCTATCATGAGCGAGAAGTACAGCACCACAGCCGCCCACCACAGACGTTTCTCCCAAGTCCTCTTTTCAAGATTACGAAGTACGCCGATACCAACCAGAAGACCTAAAATGATAGAAGTCAAATTGATTTCAAGGTATATACTCACTTGGGAATTTTAATAAAACTATTCATTTTATTTTATATTTTTAGACTAACTAACTATACACGTGTTCATAGGCAGTCGAAATGTAACAGTCTAAAAATTTTACAAAAAAAATCAATATTTTTTTATATTCTATATTCACGGTTCAAATTTTTGTGAATAAAATAGTGATATAATGACATTAAAATTGTACATTTGTAATGATATTATGTCTAACGATACTTTAATATGTATGCCTATTCAAAGATTTTATCGTCACACACAAAGCATCGCTTGCATGATTTATGGATTTTGGATACAAAAATTTTAACGTTTCGTGTGTTCCAAATAAAAACTTGGACTATCTTGAACATCGATAAAAAATGTATATCTTATTATATGTTAGGATTTTATGCTAAAATAATAAGGATTTACTTGAATAAGAAACAAGTTTGATATGCTTACTAAATTTGTGGATAGTAACAGATTAAATTAGCCGTTCTATTAGTAGCCTAGCCGTTTACTAAATGATTCAGTCAATTAGTTGCCCGAATTGAATTACCGTTACGCAAACATTTCATCTATTTCAACATTCATTTATTATTTATAGTTAATAATATTTTAAATGCTTTCTATATTCTGTCATTTCGTTACTTTGAAGATTTTATTTGGAAAACTTTGTACCAGAAAACTGTAAACTCCTCCTCATATTTGTAACGATATTTATATATATTATTTGATATTATAAATAGTAATACAAGGTAATAAATAATGTAGAAATAACCGAGAACAAGTTACCAATAAATTATATTAAGTACATATTCTAGAAGAGAATGATATCAAACAAAAATATAAATAAAATAAAGTATAGTATTCAAGAATATGCGATTAATGTATTGAATTAATTAGATTTATTTATTTAGTAACACTCATAATATTGGTATTTAAAATAGAAACTAATACCAAAATCATGTGCTTCCGGCTTTTCTTAGGCAAGGCAAATTTTGAGCCTGTGACAATTTTTGGTTTTATGTAAGTATTTTATTTGAATAACCACTGACCTGCCACGGCGCCTGCTAAATGAGCGACATATCCGATGTTTTGCTGCAAGTGTCTCCAATAACGATCGTACACAGCCGTCCCGATGTCAACAGTTGCCAGAAGTAAGAACACCAAGAGCTGTATTATCGCAAACTCCATCTCCGACCAGTTCTGTAAAAATTAGGTAAAAACATTAAAACATATTTTTTGCAATATGCAAAATAATGGGGGAAATCTAGATCTTAATTTTTCTGGAAGATTAAGTGATGACAAGGGACGAAGCGAAATGTTCTTCAACTGGGTAAACTACTTAGAACAGTTGAGACACAGTCCACTACGAGATATGAAATGTAAACCAAGCAAAGAAATTGGGAATTCTATAGGTAAATTCAGTGTGAGGATGTTAATGTTGCACAGATTCTTCTGTCTAAACCGTGGCATTTCTGCTCTTTAGAAAACTGTTGTTAGCTCATATTGAGAGGACAAGATTATTTGTATCAATTGTAAAGACATTGTATCTGAATAGAACATTGAATTCCAAAGAAAATGCCTAAATTAAGGACAGAAGCTTAGAAGAATGCTCTTGTGAAGAGCATGGTATTAATTGCTTTAGAACTTTTGTATATACACCGATACACCGTATCTGGTCCTGTTTTAGAACTGCTTAAAATATAACAAACTGTGATATATCGTATATTAATTGCTGTATCAACAATCTTATAAGCAAATCTTGGTCTTATCAGAATTTTATTGATATATTCATTAGTTTATTTTAGCTATGAATAGTCTATTAATAATTCGCGTTCTTACCATAATAATGGTCGCAATATGAGCTGCGATAAGAGCATACACCCCTCCGGATGCACCAGCTAGATATACTTTAGGATCTGTGAGGCTGGTCGCTAGTGATCCAGCAGCGACTCCTGCCAGATACACCAGCACCACGCGCCACCAGCGGTGAACCATCTCCAATGGGACTCCCAGGAACAATTGAACCAACAAGTTAACTAGAAGGTGGACTACACTGGAAGGAAAACATGAAATGCTTTGGAACTTTGCTCATCTTCTCGCAAACTTTACAAATAATAAGCATATATAAAAAATTATGAACAATCGCAAACATTTAAGCAGCGCATTTAGAGTTAACATTTCGCATAGTCATATTTTTTAAAACATATAATTCATTATATTCTTAGAGAAGGGCGCTCAGTAAGACTTAAAGTTCTATAGATATAATATAAATATTCCGCTCACCCAACATGGACCAGCATATAGGTCAAGAACCGCCAAGCCTCCTGTCTCTTGTGGGGGTTGTATATGAATATCTGGGCGATGGGACCCGTCGCGTCCGTCTTCCCTTGAGCGGCGTCATAGCAGAACAGTACTATCTCGACTATTGATATCAATATCATACATATGGCCGGTGGCCAGCAGCTATACTCCTCTTCGTATGTACCGTCTGTGTATGTGAATATGCTTTTTTGCCTTTGGACTGTCATACGAAACACAAAGGGGAGGTAGGGCTCGGATGGGGTAGGATGTGAAAAGGTTTTAATTTAATACATATTTTAAAATTTATTGATCAATTCGTTTATTTTTTTATAACGGTTTGGAATAATTTAATTCAAATATATACCGGTTCAAGTTATAAATAGATATCAACAATGCCGTAAATAGATCACGCGATGTGAGAGTGACATTACGACATACAGGACGTATTAAATCAATTAAGCAGTGTTGAAAGGGCGAATTGAAGTTAACAGGATAATAGGAACGCGAATTTTAAATACCATTTATAGAGTAAGGCGTTAGATAAATATATATATTGTATTGGAAAGGTGGTTTGGGAAACATAAAAGGTAAAAATAAGGAAACACAAAACAACAATAGGAGGGAGGAGAAAAAAGAAAAAAATCCAAATTAGTATTTCATGCAGATTAAACCTTACAAATAAAACCATTTATTAATACTGTATCATAATGCTTAGTATGTAATTTTAGATATCTGTTAGTTACTTAGATTAGGTCACGAAACATTTTTTTCAGGTAAATTCATGAAAAAGTGTAGCTTTAAAAAAATATCACATCTTCCATAAAGATTGTGTGATATTTGTCTGTTAGAGAAAGTACTAAAAGTTATGTACACCCGTTTGAATCACTCTCTTGGATGCACTGAGCTACTTCAACGAGCCAATATTATGTTACTCATGAGTTATGAACAAACTTCATTCATACAATTAAAACTTTCATTAAAGAAGCTTGTAAAGAACACTAAAGCGGTTCCGTAAAAAAATGGTTTCGTTCCATTCATTTCATGATCACCTTGAAAACATTATATTATGTACTTGACAAATGATAAGGATATCAAACGGTTATATTATATCTATTACATTACACACAATTCCATGCTCATTTACCAAGCATCAAGATGCACCCATCACCTTTAACATGTCAAATGACTAATACAAGACTAGCATCAGAATATATACAAGGCCAACGTTGTGTACAAACATCGACATATAATAAGCTAGCGGTTTTAAATATGCATTTAATGGTTTAATTTACATATTATATTAGTTTTAAATGTTGGTGCTTTGAAATATTTCTAAGGAATAGCCATACCGAAATATCTGAAAACATTCTTGATGAACTCGACAGCATTTTTCAATAGAGTCTTGTAACGATTTTTCGTATGTATTTTTCTTTTTGAATGAACATTCCTACAACTCTCTAACCACATCACAGAACACTATATGAACGACATTTGTGATGGTTGTAAATAGTAATCACATTAAATTGATTTTATGTCGAATTTGTTACACTGACGTCGTTACACCCGGACTTCCTCTGGTTTTTTTTATTAAACTATATAAACATCTCATTTGTGTCAATTCGTATGTCACCGTACTTTTCTCCAGGATTTTATCTTTGAAGAACTATATACGCGTGCGGTCCGATAAGTAATATTACTTGTAATGGCATCAACGAACAAAGAATGCAAGGATGTATGCCCGTCTAATGCGCTTAGCAATCAACGTCACCGTGTAATAGTATTTATATACAATAAAAAAAACCGTTATATAACATCGTCATTAATACAACATCTTAAAACTACTGTTATTCGTTCGATTTTAATATTTTTTCTTCGTATTAGCCTCTAGAACTGGGAGCTAATTAAAAAGAACGTTTTACCGAGACCCGGAGATGATTTGAAAAAGAGATTTTTTAAGGTAAAAATATAAATTATTCGTTTTGGCTGTTAGATTTTTGTTAGAACGAAATTGAGGGGATCGTCTGTATAATAATGTGAACATTACAAGAATGCTGTCTTGTCTGTACATTGAATGCATTTAGCAGTGATCAAATGTAAGGGAAGTATAAAAATAATCTATAATTTGTCAAATTTAATGATTGAAGAAAGACCGTGGAGAAACAAACGTAGCTTCGAGCTATTCGAAATTTTGAAAATCTTTGGCGGTAATTCGTATTTTCAAAAAGGCCCACTCCCAGCTGTGGGATTCATAACCACCCTCATTTTAAATGTACTTTTTAAAGTATATGGGAATCCACCTTTATATCTATTACGTTATCACAGTTATATCAATTAAATAAATCGCAACTCTTGACCTTCGCCGATGCTTTTCCTCTTGATAACATCTTAAATAACGCCGACCAATTAGACTTTAGAGATCAAAAGATCAAACGCATTACATTGACCTACAAGGGTTCTTAATTTGCATATACTATTCACATTTTAAATAAAATAAAATGTCTACAAAACTATCGAAGTTCTAGCCTAGATATATAAATATTATTATTACTTTTAGGTATAATAGAATTATAACTGATTCACAAACTACCAGTTAATAGTGTCCCATATATTTTATCTAGCGGTTACTAATCAACTATTATGTATATAGCATACAATGTTTCGACCAATCAAGCTATAAAGCTGCCAAGAGCTCGTCAAATTGTGTAACTATGATTTTATCTAGCTCTTATACTATACGAGTACATCTAAAGGTACATCATCAAGCATCTATAACCACGTGTTGATGGTCCGACTTGTATTTCTCTATTTACCCTCCTCTGTTCGACTGTTAACTGGTGTATTATGACAGTGTTCGTTCGCTTCCGTTCCCTTCTGTATACGTTTTCTAAAATAGATGATTTTCATTAGAAAAATCAATGATACCTTATTAGTAACTTGAAAACGAGACACTATAACATTAGGCATAGTTTTGTTATGGCGATATAACATATTTTCTTTCATTTAAATCTTATGGGTAATAAATAATATATTGATGATATTGTTTTTTATCCGTACATAGATTTCGGGGCCAGGTGATCCGTCAAGGTCATCAGCGTAATACGGATAGCGATAACGCAAGGATAGCATTGTAATATTTTATATTATATGTGATAAGAAAAATACGAGTCAAGATTTCTTTTAATACATACAGAAGGCCGTTTTATTGGTTATTCTAGTTTCATATCAAGTTCAAGGTCAAGCTTAATAATATGTGATTATTTACTACGAATGTCACGTTCGTTATTTCTTAATATAAATTGATTTTGATATAACCACGTAAAATAGTTTAATGGCAGTATATTTCTTTTTATTACCATGTTGGCTCCATTCATCGGTTATTTAAAATTTATTATTGAAAATAAATTAAGGGTACACAATTCTTTGGCTTCTGAGTTCTGACCTATGTAGCATCATTGAAACCAACCTAGGTTCTATAAAATTTCATCTATAGTGATTTCACATCGGTAAATAATACATCGATATTTGTTACGTATAAAAATTTCAGCTAAATCGGTAGAAGAGATCTAATACGAAATTGAAACGCACGAATAATTAAACATGTGTGCATAAAGATTGAATGTCAAATAGAAGCTTGTAAGAAAAATATAATGGCTATTAGTAACAGGTAGGCGGAACGACTTATATTTTGTCGAGCTCATGACTAGATAAGTCATTGTTGGATGCTGACCATGCGTCTGGAACCGATACGTGATTCCAGGTAGACATAATATCAGGAGTAAGCAACAACAAATGATAAGTATTGGACATGAAACACAAATGCGACCAACAACAATGTAAGTGTAGGTAATTTTAATGGAATTTTGATTTTCAAACACAACCCATTCCAACTTTTTAGGCCGATGATAAGCTGAACGACCAACAACATAAAAAAAAACAAAAATAATAATAATAAAGTACCGCCATCTGTTGTTGAGACCGCACGAAATCCTTGCCCCGGCCACCTGTCTACCGAACAAAATCAGTGCTTATGTTAATTCTAGGTACAGCTAAACAGTGTTAATATATACATACTGTATAAATATACATAATTATTGTAAATAAATGCAATTCATGCATTTTTATAAACAGCAATGCGGTTAAAGCATAAATTTTTACATCAAGATCGTGTCTACCATTAGTGATCCACAATTATGTGCTGTATTAATATTGTAATTTACTTTAATCTGAAAGCCAAACGTGCAATATATAAACTACTATCACAAAGCTATATAGATAATCTGTTTAAAACAAACACATTATTTACAGTCAAATCATAACTGCACTTAAACTAATAAATTTATAGTGCTCTTAACGTTTATAGAATACATCAAATAAAGTGATCGATTATTCAAACTCACCAATAGTATCAACTGGGTCTCGATGTGGTATGATGGAATGGACATATCTGGCAACGAAATGTCCGAATACAGCTTTTAATTCTGGATTCTTCATCATAGCGACGAACTCAGCGAAGTCCAGATATCCCGAGTTATCCCTATCGGCGAGTGCCATGATCTTTTCGACCACGTTGTCTGGTAAATCATGGTCATATTCTCTGGATTCTATGATCGCCTTTAACTCTACGTATGAGATCCGACCGTCATTATCTCTGTCGTACTGGAATGAAAAAACATGAATAATTTGATATAGCTTCTTACAAAAATTCGATGGACATATTTTTAATTTCTTTCTCCAGGGGCAGATTGAGGGATGCGGCTAATATAATTAAATAAATTTATAGTCTTACACTGTACAGAAAAAAAAATGTATTAGAGAAGTCTGGCCGGTATAATTTATATTTGATTTCCATCACAACAAACTGGCTAACAACTTAGTATTGTAGCCATCGAAAATACAATACTAATGCTGACATTGTAGCGGCGTTTATACAAATTGACGCCATTTTGTGTAAAATGTTATATTTACAAACAAACCCTTCCAATGAGCGGTAAACTTTAATATATTTTAGTTAAGAATCGTTGCCAGTTTAATATATAGAACTGTACAAACTGTGTTTAAATTTATTCGTCGAATACTTAACTGTACATTGAAAAGTTAGTCCTAATTCCCGCTATCTGTTTATCAAATCTTCATTTTCTTATTTCCTAACTATCCCATTATTGGAAATTATATGCTATTTATAATATACGTTGGCGGTTGGTACACACCTAAAGTATTTCTTTTAATCTGAACGGTGCACAATGCCTTATCTTTTATTCGGTCAGCAGAAAGCAAACATATAGAAGACAATATTTAATTTGGTCGAAGCGGCCTCATTAGGTGTTTAGAAATTTATTATTAAATAATTTTTCAATCAAAATTAGTTAGAAAATTATTGCATGTTTAGTATTCTAAATCTTCCCATCAAGCTAGAAAATCTGTATAGAAGTGAAATATTTATTTTCATCTTATACATCAATTTTGAACATTACACAATAATTACTTTATACTTTATCTTAAAAACCATTTCATTCTGATACTATAGAATATACTACAACAATATTCCATTATCAACTCTTTATTATTTTTACTCACAGAGCTATGATTTAATATTTTTTTCCTTAAATTTTTTTTCTTGGTATAAGACGTTGTCTTGATTTACATATTTAGAATTCATTTACATAATATAACTATTTTATTAAGCTCACATTAGATTTGTACAGGTTTCTTACAACTCATAAGTTCGACATCTTACCTAGCAACTTGTTTTTATTGATAGACGTCTTTCAATGAACTATTTAATAATAAAATTATTAAAATACAGTAAAGCAGCATTGATATGTTATATATAAAGAATTTCTTCCTAGCTGCGGGCCATTTATATATCATCTTTACCAATGTCAATCCACTTACCAATTGCGTTTGAGTCATGATCTAAATACAAACTATAGATGACTAACACGTGAAATTGTTCATGATTTCGGAGAAGACATCATATTTCCTGTACTATCATAGCAGTTCTATCCCTTGCATATTTCTTATAGCTATGAATGACAAACTTCCATACTAACAGTTTCTACTTTTACGTATTTTTATACATGTACATATTTAAGTACACGCTGAAGTTCAGTGTACACTATTACATGAGACCGAGCTGGAATACTGCCAGGGTGTAAGTATTTCAAAAATAAAATGCAATTTATAAACAATCATACACATTTAGAATTAGATTCTTCACAAGTGTTTTATTAAATTATTTTTTCATAGTAATGAACAATTTATTTGTGTCAAATATAATCCGTATATGTGGGTTTCTGTTATCATAGTAATAGATTATTAAAGTGATTATGGAAAATCGGTTTTATGTGTCACAAGTGTCTTTCGGTGTTCCCGTTTTTTGACAAGAACTAGTTAACCAATTTAATTAATATTAGAATAACTATATTCTAATATATATTTGCTACAATTCAAAAACTATCTTCAGAGATAGACGCCAACTGATTACAAGGAATACTATTATTAAAATTTATTTCATATATATTTTTAAATTATATATATTTTTGTATACAAGAAATATAAGCTGCTATAAAATCTCAGAAGAAATATATTACGTTTGCGTTACTCTGAATGACATGTAATTTTAAGAAAAACCAACACGAAATATTCCATCGATCATAGTCACAGACGTAACTTCTGAATCACCCTACAGAAGAAAACCACATGATAATACATACATTAGTTTAGGAGATAAGCACAAAACGACGAACAGATGAGGTTATTGACTTAAAAGTAGTTAGGCCGCTTAAGAAGCCATTTTTTTTATATTATAGTTTTATAACAAAACTCAAATAATAGAATGCAGCTAAAGGGACATGAAAATTGAAAGTAGGTAGAAGGTAAAATGTTTTTCATACACCTGCAACAAATCTTTTATCAATAATTTTATTAATATTTTTCCATTTATATAATTACTACATAAAATGAGTTTAAATGTATTAATTATAATATTTATTATTTTTACGACTTTTAAGCCTTCTTTATAAATGGTTTTTATTAATTTGCCTTATAAACATATATGTTGTTATATTCATATACTTTCATAATAATTTATTTGGTTTAAAAATTTTATTAACTTCAAATTATTTAAAAAACAAATACCGTCTTATTTTTATGTCTTTTATAATCTAGTAAAAATTACGTCATTTCGAAAAAAAAATTGTTACATTAATCTTTTTTTTTCAGGCTGTTTTCAAGTTAATGTATAACTTTAAAAAATTTAACCAGTATAAATTGTACCAACGTTTAGAAGTCGTCACGATAATAGAAATAAAATACAATACTAAACATTTATCAGTAATAACAATAATAAAAGAAATGAATTGATTTACACGGCATTGTTTATTGATAAAATTCTTTAAGCCTACTCTTATTGTATACACCAAATGCAAAACAGCTTTTCTATTATTCCTATTATAGAAAATGACTAATATTATATATATAAAACTTCCCAGAACTGTCACTTTTTATCATTATAGCCTTAATTTACAGCCATATTGACAATCGGCTAAACAAGGTATACCGTTATTATCTAATTGTCAACAAGATAACTGTATAGTTTTATAATTATAAAACAAAAGACCGTAATATGTCTTAAACAATATTATTTCTATTTACTAATTAATAAAATATGTGAAATGTTTATATCAATGAAACGGAGAGCAGAAAACTTTGGATTACTATTTTAGAGATATCAATTGAACCACATAAAATGTAAAATTTTCTTTACTTAGAATAAAAGAAGTGTTGTGATAATTTTTATTTTATATACATATGATAGTAGAGTTATTGGAAAATACAAAATTACACCGTAAGGGTTATATGATAAGATATTAGTAGATTGTCATATTTCAAGGAAAGGTGTGGTTTTAGTCATCAATTTCAAATGTTTTATACATTAGTAACCAGTTTATGTAAATACATATATAAAAAATAATCATTATAAATGTATGTCTATTTTTATCAAAATAAATATGTCTATTAATTGCAGTTTAAAGTTATTATTTCAGTATTGTATTAATTTACTAGGTTAAAATAATACAAGAAGCAATAAATTAAATTTAAAAGCTACATAAAATATATTTATTTTCATAGACTTTAGTGAAACTTTCTCTTAAATGTGGTAACTAAGTAAACACTGCGTAATGGTCTTCGTTTGTTTGTTATGTAGAACATAAAATCGATGTATACTGAAAGTGGAACATATACACGTACCTTGTTAAATATCCTTCTCCAGTACAAATCTGATCGCGTTGGGGTAAGTGGTATGGAGACAGTTGTTTCTCTCTGACCTGACGGCATTTTTACACAAAAATTAATGTATGACTAATGTTTATACACTTTGCTTACTCGATGTAGCACATCATATGCAATGTATATAATTGATGATTATTCATTAATTTCTTAGTTATAAGATAAGATAAAGATTGGATATTTAAATTTTCGTTTTGTTGTATTCGTTCGTTACAAGGATATGTTAATCGCAAACAACCGCTCTAACACAAATTCATAGTACAACTGATTGTAATACGTCATATTAGTTTAATATCAACATTCAAGACTGTGTCAGCTGTCACTGTCATCAGCACAATACATAATTTAACTTCTTTTAATGATTCTAAGACTCAAAGACCAAGTTTCATTGAGCTTTTAAATAATGTAAATAATATTACATATATTTAACGGATCTTTTACTAAAATTAATATTTGATTTAATAATCTGTTTTATAATATTGTATTCAGACATAATCTTATACGTATCTTTAATAAAAAATTATGTATTTTTATTAAGTTTCATCAGTTAAAGTAAATTAAAATATTCAATGGAAAATTAATTCCATTGTGGTTTCCGGACGAGTAATATCTTATAAATCAACACTTAAACGTTGCTATGGTAACATTGACTACAATTATTGTGTAAACATTAATTACAATTTTAACAAATATCATGAATGGAATGTCTAAAAATAACAAAGTTTGCAATGTAGTTTGGTTAAAACAACCTGTGGAAAATGTAAAAATAAGGTAAATATCGCTTTACGACTTAAGAACTAATATATATGATTAAGAGTGTTGGTGTTGCAATCTAACTTATTACTTTTTTAGAATAAAAATAAAAAATCGCGATGGTGTATCTACATTACCTACATTCGACGATTATCAAAATAAATCCGGTGATGAAAATCTTGACAAACTGACTGAAAATAAAATCATAGATTATTTATTCGGATGGCAAGAAAAAGTTTTCAGTCCTTGGGAAGTCCAAAGATATTCCGAAGAACATAATTGTATTACAGATACAGAACTAATTTATTATAATATTATAAAGGATTTGAATTATGAGCCGAAAAATGTTTTTACATATGTTCATTCTGATTGCAATACAGTACCTTTGCCCTTTGACAATAAAAAGTTAGATCAAAATGTTGAAAATCTAACTGTTTGTTTTGATAAATTGACTTTGGCAAACCGGATCTTTGGTATAAAGAGACCTTCCACTTCAATGCGGCGTTTATTTAAAAGTGAAGAATACATAGAAGAAAATGAACAATGGCGTATCATGCAAATTGTTTTAGACTCTTCTAAATACAATGAGTAAGTCTTGTTCATACAGAATTTTACATTTATTTCATTAATAATAGGTCTGTATAACTTTTTAGCAGGTCCTAATTTTACTCATAGATGGCGCTTACAATATTAAAAAATTTACATAAAACGCGGACCTGAATTTTAAACATATTAATTAGTTCTTCTTAATTTAGTGTTACACGGACAATTTTATTAAAAGAGTCATTGCAAAAATAAACTATTCTTATATTTTTATAAGCTATTATTCAATTACTAATATTTAAGGTAATATATTACATGTCTATCCATTAAGTAAAAAAAAATAAGGTTTACGCATAAATTATTAAAAATTCCATATAATAAATTAACTGTAATCAATATAAATATTTGAAATTATACAAATAAAAATATTTTTAATGTAAAAATATTGGATCTATTTATATTCATAGGCCTTGGAAGAAAATTTTAAAATAAGTTATTACTGATATTAATCAGGATCTTAACTGCAATAGGATTCAATAGATGGCGCTGTAGGCCTTAGAAAACATAACTGCGGCTAATGTGGTGATTAATAAAAAACGTATTTTAGCTAAACCATAATAAGATTGTACGTACATATATATTTTTTATTTTATAGATTCTTTATGTGGGTTAGCATGTTCGAAAATGTATGGCGTGGCTCCATTGAATACGTCGTAGCGAGCACGTTTTCAAAAGTTTAGCTATGTAGGAGTACTAAATAGTGGTTTTATACTGGACATAACGCTGATTATTATGCATGTACAGATTGAGGCTAGTAGTGACCCACTTTTTGACAATCATTTTACCGCATTCATGTACCAGTTATAATTAATTAGTTTGTACTATATTTACATAGATATTTAAGTTCTTCTAATTAATAATTTAGGATATCTGTATTTTTTACCATGACTATCTAATCTTTATGGTACCCACTGACATATTTACCATATTACACAAATCATTTTGCATAACTGTTGAAATATAAAATTTCTAAATTGCATCAGATTTTTTAACTGTGTAGATATTTTATATGGAATCAGTATTTGTTAATATTGCATAAGGTATTTTCAAAATCAATAATTATATATTAATTTATATTCGCTCTTAAATCAAACCTCCCGTCATCTTTAAGTATTGCGTAATGAAAAAATTAAAATACAGATTATTATTAGAAATTAATTTTGTGAATTTTATTAGCCAGTTTAGTTTTAATATATTAAATTAATGAACGCAAGCACAGTCGTTTTAGGTATAAACTAAACTTTATTGTTTTAGTCTAAACATTTTAAGCACATAAAAAAGTGTTGAAAATATCTGAGCTATAAATCGCGTTTGCTAAAGGCGAAAAGCCGCAGCAGTTTTATATATTTGGATAGAATCTCGCAAGGAAATAGCCAGCAGTATATAACACATCCTAAAAGTTATACATCTTAGTAAATTTATCAAATTGATCGAGTTTATTAAATTACTGAAGCATTCATACTTATGTATGTAATAGACTTAATAAAGTAGATATTCATTAGGTAATCTAATTCATTTGCATTTCTTGTCGAAATTAATTTAAAATAAACAATATAAGCAAAGTTAATAGTCCTTATGTTCTTTTGATAAGTGACAAATCAAATTAAGATTTCTTTTATGAAAACTAAATAAGCGATTGTTACATTTATAAATTTGACTCTTTCTCTACCAGCAAATCGAATAAAAATTAGTATACATTTGCCATTTTAATAAAAATGAACTATGATTTGAGAAAATAAATAATAGTTATAATTTTTCGAAAGTATTTAAATTAAGAAAGATAATTTTAGATGTTTAAAAAATAGTAGAAATAATACCACGATGTTCATATAAAATTTTAATGATAAAAGTAATTTTAAAATTAGGCAACAAACTTAAGATACTTTAACAACAATGATCAGAACAGTTATTTTTATAATACATACCGAAGCTTTAAATCAACATTCATTCAAACATTATTCTTTTGGTTCTATAAAAAAACTTATTTTAAGAGAACTAATTCTAATGTCTTATTACGGGGACAGGAATGTGTTTGACCACTTCCAAGGGTACGGGGTATAAGTGGGGTACTTTTACCTCGTAGGGCTCTGGAACAGGCACGAGAACTGGCGTTGGTACAGATACTTGTACATTCTTTACGACTGGCACAGGCAGATGTTTGGTGATTGTGACGTGCTTGTGAATCAGGATTGGTGGACTTTGACTGATCTCCTTGGCAGTGGATTTCGATTTTTCAAGCTCGAATTCCTGATGTCTTCTGAAGATGCTGTCGATTTGTTTTTCCACGTCAGACTGATTCTGTTCGATAGATTTCTGATTATTGGCTCCACCGTCTGATTTCACAAATTCTGTTTGACGGCTGTTGAGGATAAATTCGATCTGTTTCTCTACTTCCGATTGTTGCTGTCTTTCTTCTCTTTCTCTTTTGTTCACCTCAACGGGGTAACCTTGTTGATTTCTATATAAGTTTTGAATCTGTCTTTCTATTTCAGACTGTTCAACATTTTTACCTTGATTCTGAACATTTCTTTCTTTGGCTACATTAGACTTCGCAAATTCGAAAGCTTGGTGGTTTCTTAAGATATATTCAATTTCTTTTTCCACCTCTTGTTTATCTTTTTCGTCACTTTGCTTAACCACTTCCACGGGCAAGTTTGAATTTTCAAAACCGAAAGCTTGGTGCTGCCTCCAAATATTCTCGATTTCTTTCTCTAACTCCGACTTTTCATTATTATTTTTATTAGAGTTCTGTTGCTCCTGTCTTACAGCTTGAACTTGTTCAACATTTCCTCTCTCGTTTTGTTTTTGTTCAGACGATAAGGCCTTTAATTGAGCGCGATTGTGGTCTAAAATACGGTTCCATTGTTTGTTAAGCTGGTCGTGTAATAATTTTTCTTCTTGCTCTTTATCCAAAATGTAAACATTTGGAGAAGCTTGGACGAACTCCTGGCTTTGGATTGGATTCTTCTGTACATTCTGTACCTGTAAATTCTGTACCTGCACATTTTGTGCCTGTCCTGATAATTTAGCTTGATCTCTAAGAAGCTGTGCATAAGCACCGACGAAGTTATTTTTCTGTTGATTATTGTAAACTGATTCCTCTCTAGGTAAAAAGACATTTGGAGCGACTGGTTCTTCTACCTGTGGTTCTTCGATAGGTGCAGGTTTTAGATTCTCAGCAATAAAGTTTTGAAGCTGTTGATTGAAAGCTTCTTGTTCTTCATCTGAATTCTGTTTCAAGGATTCAATCGAAACTGAATTTTGAGATGATTTCACCCCTCGCAAAGCTTGTATCTCTTCCGGTGTTAGATAGAAATTAAATTCTTGAGTCACAAATCTTTTATCGATTTTTTGGTTTGCAGAGTTGGAAGATGATTTTTCAGAAAGGACTTGAGGTCCATTTTGCAATTGCCTTGCTGTTGTGGCTGCCACTAGGGCTATGAAGTATAACTGGAAGCAAATATTGTACTTTTAATATATATTAATTTTCAAAACAAATTAATATTATAAAATATATAAAAATTAAATACTTACAAATAACTGCATATCGATCTGTATACTTGTTGTGTTGGGATCGAATGATCTTGTGACTAAAATTTCCGAAACACACGTTTTTTATACTCGCGTTTTGCTTTACTCTCTTTTCGACATAAATTTACATAAGTTATGTTTTGATTTTCTAATTGAGTGAAGTAACGGATGCCTTATAATAAAATATTAAAAAAAACTATATGTATGTCAATTTCTATGCAAGTTGACTTTTTTACATAAATATCTGTATTTTGAAAGAATTCCTCTAAATGTTGTATTTAGTATAATTTAGATAACAAAATTTAACTCGACTATTAAATTTGTTTTAGATAATTATTTTGCTGTATTTTACTTATAGTACTTAATTTAATATGATGGATCCTAAATAGTACGTTACATAAATTAAAGTTATATATAGAACAAAAAATAATTAAAAATATGGTACTAATTTATATGACATGATTAGTATATGAGAAGTAAAATATGTTATAAAAATGATCTGACTTCCATTAGGATATCAGAAGTAAGTGCATATATTGAATATGATTTAATGTTACACAAATAATTTATCCTTCAGGGAGAATAAACCTATTTTTATGGAAGAGCATATCCTACTGACATTGTACCATAATACTTACCACAATTATCTCGTGGTGACTCCTGGCGAGAACGACATAGAGACCAACTCCTACCAGGTTAATGGTGTGCCTGGTTTTGAATATGGTGTGGAGATAGTTATGCAAGAGGAGAACGGGGAGGATATGACCATTTTGGTTGGTTAAATTTAATTATAAAGAAAACAAATTTTTTTTTAATTATTTCTATTTTATCTCCTTACTAAACAAAAATACATATTATGAACAAAAACAATAATTAAGAGTAATTTGCATTATGAGATAAAAGAATATACATACGTTAATTCTTACAACGTTAAGTAAAGATAAATAGAAATTAATGTAATTTCAGATAAAAAATCTTCTTAGGAAGTGGGATAAGAAGTATAAGAAGCAGTTGACATTTTCCTTCCCACCGCTGGGAAAGAAGATGTTCTTTGTGTCTTTTGAAATTGTGTCAGCAGTCGACTTTGATATGGACAACGCATATATTGAATATTATATAAAGGTACCTTGAATGTATTAAACGAAGAACATTATTTATTTATCATTATTTTTCTTAAACGTATATTTTATTCTTAATCGTATACATATCGTATTAATTGCGAATTTCACGCAAGTCTAGTTTCAAAAATCATAAATTTTGTTTTACATATCTAGATACAAAATGTTTCTAAGAAATTGAGTGCTAAAAAAAAGTAGACATGAGGAATGTGTAGTGAAATGTTTACTTGAATAATAATTTATAATACAAGTTTTTTTTTATTTGACGATATTTTGAATACAAAATATCGTATAACTATTCCTATGAACAGTCAAAGGTTTATAATTTATTAAATTTATTTAAATCCATATTTTAAGATTCCAGATAATATGAAAACTACGGGCGAACTTCGAGGTCGCACGCACCGTGCTCATTTTATAGAAAATAATAAGAAAAAGTTTTGGAGGTACGGACATACCGTTGACTTGGAAATGGAGTGTGCCACAGGGATTGGTAATAGTATCTTTATAATAAAATAAAAAAGTAACTTTTCGTTGTTTTCAATTTATGTCGAATTAATAAGAACCTTAACATTTTCTTGAAAACGTGGCGTCACGATAGGAGAAATATAGGTCAATAATGTATGTTTATAAATTATAATAGATTTTTGTTGCACTTATGACATCTGATAGGGAATATTTAAAAATTTCTTCCTATATGTTCTTGAAGAAACAACTCAAAATTGTCATTACGTCACAATAAATTGATGAGACCTGTTCAATAAAACTCGTTACTATATAACATCTGCCATTGTGAAATAAAATTTTCCTTTCAGATCCACAACCGCTAAAAATATACTTAGAAGCAATATCAGTGGACTGGTGGGGGCGTCACAGAACCGAGGGTTATAGCCATATAAGTTTGACATTGCAACCCGGACGCTACAACGAACGGCTAACGTGTCTTAGGCCAGAAGAAAGGGACCAAGTGGTTGCTGAAAGTAGAAGATTCTTCGTTGGAGGATGCCACTTGCTAAAAAACTTGGCTGTACTCGATAATACGCAGATCGAGGTAACTATATAGATAAAAGTTCTGCACATCATGGCTCTAATTTGAACCTAGTAATTTCCTCATTTTTCAAGTCCAAACATGTCAAGTTTTGGTTGAAATTTGTATGGTAAAATATATGTCATAATTATATAACCGACTCGCGAAACTAGAAATATAATTCCTATCATAGCAATATATAAAGATAAATGACTTATTTCCTGTGTGTGAAGTAATTAGAAATTTTTCGTTCTCAGGACCCCAGTTTCAGTTACGTATCCACTGGATCTATATACGTTAGGTGGAACGTCATATCCCAAAGACCGTCCCCCTCTCGGCTTCCATCCACTCCTCATTCTTCATCGTCAGAACTGCTGAGGGGAGCTGAAGCAGTGCTCAGACAGTATAAGAAGGCCAAGGCCACATTAGCAATAGCAGCTGGCTTAGCAATGGATGGTTCTGGTGATGGATAGTGTAAGAATAACAGTAATAAAAGATTTCATATGTTGTAAATGTTTATTTTATTTTATTTGTATCAGTGATATTATTGATATGTGTGGAGTTAACATTATATCATATATTTTTTATGTTCAGTATAACATGAGCTGGTTCTTTAACAGTTTTTGTATATGTAGAAGTTTAACAGAATTAAATAAACAATGAAGAAATACAACAGTATAAATAATAATATATAACATGTGTGAATCTCTGTGTATTAATTAATCTATCTCCCGTTTCTGACGGCTTCTCTCATCATAGCTGTGATCGCCGCTATGTTTCTACCTCGTTCTCTCCGTGTGTTCTTAGCTTGTTGTATTCGCCAAGTCTTCTCGTCTTTGACAGCCAGAGATGCGGACACGAGAGCTCGTCTCCCGGCCTCAGCAGCGGCTACCTCCTGACGAACCAAGGACGTCTCCCATGACGTCAGAGCATTTGTAATTGCTAGACGCTAAATATGATATAAATATAACAATAATTAAGAAATATAACAGAGTTCTATTTCAAATGATAAATAGAAAAAAGATATCTAGAATATGCTCTATCGCTGAAATATTTGATTTGTATCTAACGAGTGAAATTACATCTACGGCTAATAAATTACGAAGTAGAAAGTATACAATTTTTTATAATTATTATTGATGAACTATTAAATATATTTGCAAAAAAATTATTCATGTAAGATCTTAGATTTTTCTTTCTCCAACACGACGATGACTTTCAAGTCTTTCAAAGGAGACGCATCTAAATCGGGTTTAATTATTTCAAACTGAAGTAATCGATTATCGACATGTTTATGGAGTAAGAATATCATGTAAATGATGATAGAAACCTGTCTGCACTTCTTCCTAGATTGGACTTCTTCACACAATAACATAGATAATAGATATTTGCAATAGTATTAATAGTTACTGTTACTTTCTACCTGTGACTCTTCTCTCAATCTGGCCCTCCTCCGTTTCCGTGCATCTTCCGATCGTCTTGTGGTATCCACCAGTTCAACCGTCTTTCTCCATTCGTCTTCAAGCCTTCGCTGCTGGCGTCGATCAGCTGCTAACTGTGCTCGGGCCTCCTCTTCCACTGCCTTACCGATTATTTGTGTTATCTTGCAAGATAAGTTAATAAACCATTAAAAGTATGTACTGTTAACGCTTTTAGTTCATCATATATTTAGTTCTTAGTTATACAATTTTGCCTTATATGTACTAATAATGGACACGGAGAGTACAAATAAGAGTAAAAAGTTAACTAAACGAACTTTCTGATTTTTTTCGACTTAATGTTATATAGATACATATGTAGGACTCAGTTAGCTTAGTAATGTAATCATAAATCAGGATTTTTAAATCTATTTCTCGGTTAACAAAAGTGTGTAAGTAAAAATACAAACATATTTTTTATTGAAATAGGTAGGTAGGTATTTCATTTTTTGTATCAGCATGACTTTACCTTCCTATCATCCCTCCAAGCCAATACATCCTTGCTTCTTTCCTCTTTGTGTTTGATGCAATCTATCAGTTGCCCAACCCTAGCCTGTTGCTGCTCTGCCCTCTGCATTCTCTTGTACTCTTGGAGGTACTTTTCGTGAGACCTCTTCTTATGTAGGTATCGTTTATACTGCTCTGATGTTTCTGCTTCTACCTGAACAACAACAAATAGTTCTGAGACACTTGTTACACTATCTTCTTTCCAAGAAGTAAGTATTATAAAGGACGCAAGGACGCAGGGCATTATAAATTATAACATAAATACTGAAATTCGCATTGTATCGAAGTTGTTATCTCGTCTTAAAAACTCACTTATACAGGACATTTTTCTTAACTCTTTATTTTTTCTCTACTGATAACTACAGTTCCTCCAGATCACCTGCTAGCAGATCGTCATACCATTTGCCGATTTTCTTTTTCCTTCAGCCACATCTTCTGAAACTGATCCGCTAATTTCTCCCTCTCTTCTTGTTCTTCCCTCTTCTTAGCGAGAGCTCCAAGCAAACGCCAGTCTCGTTCAGGTATTTCATCCCAGACGTTTTTGCCTTCTTCATAATCGTAGGAGCTTATAAATTCTGAGGATACGTTCGGTACTGAAAGAGACCAATAATTTAAATGCTAAAGATTTTATAAGAATTTGTTAAGTAATCTGGTATTCGTTAATTAGTTATATAGTTTTGTAAGGAACATATATATGTATATTGATTGTGAAATTCACGATAAACTCAAAAATCGCCGGTTAAAAATATTTCCGAATATTTACCTATCTACATAATTGCTTATAGATTTTATTAGGCTAGAACAATATAAAAATGCATCCTCGCAATTATGAGGAATGACGAGAAATACAAAAAAAATATAGTTTTATTTACGGTTAATTCTTATACACGTTTTATCTCATATTTGTGTAAACAGCTTAGAAGTTTAATTGATTTCTACACAAAGAAATACCTAAAAATATGGTTGGTTTTTTCTTACTTACATATTTACTTACTTGTTTAGATATAAATAAATTTTCGTATTGCATAACCTAAACTTACTAAAGAATTGTGTCAAGTCTTTTCTCGGTGAGGAACATCTCGAACGGCGCGGTGACTCTGTTATAATCTTGTAACAAAACACCATTATGTTACTTCCGTATGTTACACAATAGTGGGAACTTGAGCTAGTTTGATTGCAACCAAACTAAATGAACAGATTTCTCTTTAGGCATTAGTTAAATGCCGTAATCTTAGTGAAGAAAGAGACTAAAACAAATGTAATATCGATCTATTAAACAACTTAAAATTTTGTTTAACATACACGTTATAGAAAAATTCAATGACAACGCTGGATTTGGTTGCTACATTGTTATCGATCAAACATCTTGACACCTGCAGTTTTAAGAGTCTTAGCTGTTCATTTATGTGAGCACAGATAAATTATCAAAACATGTAAATTATAAAGTTTATATAAATAACTAAAAACTAAAATAATAGAGTGAAGGAGTGTCGTATAGCTGATTATAAATGAAAACAGGTTTGAAGAGCGTTATCAGGTGTTATCAGTCTGTATGTTATCGCGAAATATGATAGGGCAGTCAAAAACGCACGGCGGGGCAGTGATGACGTGACACCATGGACAAAGATGCGAAACCCCTTGTCAAAAAACCGGATGTACTGAGGAAACTGAACGCTCAAAACCTGCATTTGATTGAACGAGGTCTACTCGGGGATATACCGGACAGATTCAAGCCACCATCGTCGGTCCCCGTGAGAGGGCAATCCAATGAGTTGGCTATTGCACGACCAACAGGTTTTCTATCATCTTGTCTACCAGTTATACCAGATTCACCGGAACCATATAACGATAAATTATCACCACTTGATGAGGGAGGTTCTCCGTTAAAGAAATCCTTTAGTTTTCGAGATAAATTTCGAATAAGTTTCTTTCAAAAGGATAAAATGGAGAAACCGAAATGGAAAACGATAGTAGAAGAAGATACAACAAGAGATATAAAGTCCGGTATGCCGCCCGTATTAAATTCAAAAGAACAAGAATATAAGTCGAGCAAGAGGTTTTGGTTCTTTCGAAATAAGGATCTGATGGAAAAAAAGGAAAAACACAACAAGCCCATATACAAACGTAGTAAAAGTTTCGAATTTCTTCCTAAAGCTGCAGAGAAAGAAGACGGAGACTGTGATAAAAATAAATTAAAAAAGAACAGCCTGTCGTATGCTTATGGTAGTAGCGACACCATAACAGCTGCTAGCTCCGTAGAGAGTTTGGAGTATATCGCAGATGTTTATTATGACAAAGTTAACAACGTGTGTCTTAAAAGTATCAAGGAGTTAGAAGACTGCGACCATCATTCCGGCTTATCCACTTCCACGTCAGCCTCTAGCGGAATAGTTGTGAACATTTTTAAGACTGAATCAGTTCAGGATTTATTAGATGAATTTGACAAAGCTGTGGATATGTTTAGTGAGAATTATTTGAGTGATAGTGAACCATATACAAAAACAGGGATTGACGTAAGCGGTGAAAATAAGAGACGTAGTCTGTCTTTCAATACATTGCCTTCACCTAAAATCGTACAAATGACAAAGGCTAACAAACCCAGTGAGGATTTTAAGGAGGAATTGGCTAGACTTTTGGAAGCAAAGCGGGCTAGTGTTAGCCCAATTTCAGCAAGAAGAGGTTCAGTGACCGATTGGTTTGTTCTAGAAGAAAATCCAGTAGCTGTTCCTACTGTTCCCCAGCTGGGTGGACAGAATGAGTATCGACGCGCTCAGAAGAAACCAACGCAGAGGGTCAGACGAATCAGTTCCACAAAATACGTAAGTAATATTTTTTCTATATATTTTTATTTTAAGATAAGAGAATCGAAATCTTTTATGATGACGTCATCAAACAAAGAAAACAGTATCCTTATCTAATCAGGGATGCTGTGTGGATGATTGGAGTATTGATTTTATAAAAAATACTTGCATTTTAAATTTTGTTTTTGTTTAATTGTTAATCTCAACAGCCTTGGTTGATAAACAATTGACCCACTTACTTGTGTAGTTCACTTGATAAAAATGAATTAAAGTCAACGTCAAAATAAATGTATGCACTTACAACAAAGCGATTTATATACATATACAATTCTACTGGGCATATGTTAATATCTGAACTCCTTAACGGCTGGTCCAATAATAATTAATTTTGTTGTATGCATTTGTGTGGCTCCCCAGATGGTCTAGATCCTCAAATCAGTCCGTCAGATAGCGCTGCAGTCGTTATTGTGGCTGTTTAAAAATAAAGGACTGCAACGTAGGTTACAATATGCATTGTTTTAACACACTTTATACCTTTCTCTATGAGCGCAATTTTGATGTTCACACGGAGTCACGGCCGAAAATTACTTTTTATATATAAAATACATACCTATATACATATATAAACTATTAAAAAACAATTGCAATTTATTGTGAAATCACATGAAATAATGCAGTTACATTTTTATGTTCAATATCAAACAGGGTTTATACAGTCGTGGATAGACAAACCTATAAAAAATATGTAGGTCAGTTTTGTACTAAATCTTAAAGACGTCTGACGTAACCTCTAAATGTCGAAGCAAAACTCGATACAAATATTATAATAACGCAAGTTTTATCCATTATTAAATTTTAATATATTATTTTAAACAATAGAATTCACATTTACATAATATCTCTTGCCAGTAAGTGACAAGTTATAGTTGTATTTATTTTTATAGTGTGGCAACCCTATAGCAGATATTTTTCTGATAACGGTGTTAAAAGTTGATGAGACATCTTCTATTCTAATGATTAATTTATTTTTATAATGATTTTTTATTTTGCAGTCGATATATACTCTCTTTTAATTTACTTCAAATATATTTATTCTAAGTCACAAACTAGGTTATGAATAATGACAATGAACCTTGTTTGTCCCAATTACAAGAACCGTTTTCCAAATATTCATATATCTAATATTTGAATAAACATAAGCTCAGTTTGATAATAACATTTCACTGTTACGTTAGGTGTATTCATTATACAATCACCCAAAATTCTGATCTGATTACAAATTAATTTAGTTATGCCTTGTTACGATTTTGTATACAATTATGTATATTTTGTCTTTTATATATTGCTATGGCTTCATTCGCACTGGAATCGTTTATATGTTCTGTCTTATCAACTTTATAATAATATATAAACTTCAATTTGAAACAAAATATAAACAATACAAGAAGACTCGCTGAAAATGATACAAATGAACAAAATTTAATGAGATCTGTATTAATTTTGTTTATTATTTGGAGTAATTAACTATTTCATTACTCGAAGGTTATAAAGGGAATATTTAATTAAGGGATATTTTATTTTATTCTTTGACATTTTAACTGAATCAATCTATGAAAACACTTAAACTAAATGGCAACCGATTAAGCAACATCGGATTTATAAAATAAATTATTTGGTAACTGGTTATATTATATTCTTCAAATACACAATTTTTGAATTAATTTTTAATTCTAGATTTAAAGACAGTATTTTTTGATGACTATTACATTAAATATTTAATGTAAGCTCGCCTTATTTTAACGTTTATAGATATAATCTGTCAGTACTATCTATATTCTGTAGATTAGCTGTGATACGATAAATATTTCAATATTACAAGTCACTTCTTACTCTCCGGCGCGGCGTGATGAAACTACACCTTATTTATTATTACATAAAAGCATTATAATAAAGAAATGTGTGTTAACAATGGCTATTAAAATTTTTTACGCAGATTTGGGTCACACTACATATACATACACTGTATATACCTTTATGTACATATAACTATGTATAGTCAATAATAATGTCAATTATAAAGTAACAAGTCACAACTATTATTGACAATTGGTCAAATGTGTAATGATACTTATAATTACTAAATGTAGTAATTTTTCATATTATCCCAATGCAATCGTTGCTAACTCATTACTTATATATATTAATAAAAAAAAATTAAATGACCAAAAACTATATCATCATTAAATTCATCATTATTTACGAATTCTGTAAGATATAATATAATGTGAAGAAAAATAAAAAATATTCATGATGTGTGTTAAAATTTAGTTTATAGTTACCTAAATTTAATTATAATATATAAAATCTAAAGCTATTTCCTTTTATAAACTACATATTGCACTAGACTCGAACGTTCTATCGGTGTGACGTTTTAGAAATGGGTATAAAATGATTTCCTTTTAGAACTCTAGCGAGCCGTGCTACTGACGTTTTAAAAATAGCTTTTAAAGGAGGAACAATTTTTTTAAACCATTTTATGTTCAAAGCTAAAGTAAAAATTATTAATACTTTAAGTAAAACTAGGTAAATTAAAAAATAATAAAGTGATTCTAAGACTTATATAAAGTTATTACATTTTTCCCCAATTAAGTCACTCTTAAACGTAATTTTATTGCTTCCCTGGGGAAACATTTTTGTCTTTATAAAAAGATTCTTTGTCGTTCATGCTAATATTGAAGGAGATACCGAGATTTTAATAAAAGCTATGACTTTATTGTAACATTTTTCTTCGTAAGACAAAATGAAAATAACTGAACTGAAAGTACCTATTAGTTGAGTGTATTTCCGTCCATTTCTTAGATTGTACGGCACTATATTATTCGATTTATAAAAAATCTCACTCAATATTGAATGAGGCTTACTAACATAAGTGAAGTGCCTACAGGTCCGGACGTTTCCAGCGTCCGTGATAAGTTCAAGGGTCATCTCATTGATCTCGTAGGAAAAGGTCGATAAGTAAGCAATTATCGGGTTCGATGGATATTAGCTGTAGATAAGTGAATTAGATAAATAGGAATATTTATTTTATTTGTATTAGTATGAATCTTTCAATAATTTTTACTTAATTTTCTTGACGAATATTGCAAAAAGAATTAGTTGTAATTTTCTTTCAGCCGGCAACAGAATGTATAAAGAAGAACATAACAGCTGCGTATTAATTTTATATAATTACTGGCATAAATTTTATGTACAAGATACAAGAAAGTATCGAAAAGATTCATAGGACGATTGGTTATTGAGTGTTTTGAAAATAGATTTTCAATATTTTTTCATACAGGTATATAAAAACATTAATGAATTTTATGACACAAAATTTTATAAAGACGCTATTGTCTGGATATTATTTAAGAAATCAGTTTGGTAAAAACACTCATTTTGAAGTGTTATTGATAATATTTTCATAATTAAATATTTATCGAAATATATAATGAATTAAAAAAAAACTTCTAAATATACATAATCAGAATACGTATAATTCCATTGACATTATTCTTTTCAAAAAAAAAAAAACAGGTTCGTACTTTACCTTTTTGTCATAAACTGAAATTACATCTTAATTAATGTTCTCAAGGATTTGTATATATTATATTTTGTGTTCTCATCGTCATCAATATTTAACAGTTCAGATGTCGTAGTAAAAGCAAGACATTCAGACCGTGACGTGCCTTCTCACCGTACCGTGTGTGAGGAAATTGAATGAGATGATTCAGATACTGTACATGCAGAAATGACAAATATTTTATATTGATATGGGGCTCCTTTAGATTGAAACTAACTAGCTCCTTTAGATTGAAACTAACCAGCTAAACTTGAAACTAACTAACTAGCATTAAAAGAGTGTTAAAAAAATATATTTAATATTAAGATATTTCTAATTGGATTATGGTTTAACGCTTTTTTATTAATATATATAGGTAGGATAATGTTGTATTTTACTGCAATTCTTTTGCCGTTCATTCGAGCAAAGTACCAAAATGACTGCGTATTTTATGCCGTTCACTAAAAGCATATTTTTCGGTGGAAAGGTCAAAGAGCCACGTGACTACCTCATTCAATATGGACCTATAAACTCGTGATGGGCAGCACTAAGGCTTCTCTCGTTTGACTTTGTGTTGGACGTCCAAAGTGCCAATTTCACCTTCCAGTGACCTATCGCAAAATTAACCTTTGTACATTATTTTTTGTCTGAATTCTGTCACTGTCCTGTATACTTGTACGTTGCTTGACGCGATTAAAAGACTGAAGTGAGGAAAATAGCCTCGAGAAAGCCTGGTTACTCAGAAAAGAGACTTATCACTTTAACAATATAGTTTAAATTTAAAAAATTATACATCACGTTCTTATGGACATAGTTGACGGAAAAAATAAGGTTTTATTATTTATTCGTGACAATATTAGGTCAATGAAAATATATGGGTTTAATATACATATATTTACAAATATCCTACCAAGTTACCTAAATATTTGTTGATAGATAAGCAACCTTTGAATTGAGTTTAATCGTTAAAAAGAAATAAGAAATAAATGATATATAATTAAAGAAAATGCATAATATGCTGGAATGTCAGAGTTAACTTCAAAAGATAGGTCAAAAAGTCATCAATAGATTCTGTTTTATGATGTCTATGTCTATCTTAAGTTTAAAATATATGTAGTTTTAAATATTAAAATAAAATCGTCATGTAAAAACTGCATCTAAATAACTCGTGTTGTAACAATACTAACCTCGTTTGCAAATGACACATATTCACACTGACGCGACTCTGTTAGCACTAACTTATAATTAGTGGAAAAGTGACAATTATGGCGACCGTAACGAGACCGAGCATCCGACTCGAAATTATTATACGTGAAAATTTCCTAACTAGTACCTGTTATTTACTTTACTTAATTAAAAGCGGTTCTACAAAAGCTCTGGCTAAAACAAATAACAAAACAAAAACAAACAACTCTCTCGCCAACAACAACTTCCACGATTTATAATGATATTTTGTTTTGTATTAAAAATGTTTAGAGAACGATTTTAAAAATGAAAGCATTAATTCTTCATAAGATGTATACCATTATTTGTATCAATCCTGTGGCCAAAACAACGTCGCTGGCATGCCATTATGAACAGGAAACAAGAGAAAATGATTGATGGCCAGCGATTCATTTTGAGCTGAACAAA